CCCCTGGCCCAGGGTCCCCCCCCCCCCCCCCACCCCCCCACCCCGCCCGCCCGCCCACCCAGGCTACCCTCCCGGGCCCGGATTACAAATCGCACCATTCGCCTTCTCCGCCATGCAATCCACTCAGTTTATCACTTCCGGCACTAGCTCGACGAACGGCAGAGTTCGCACTTTTTTCCCGCTCAAACTTTCGGCGACTTGTTAATAGGTCGTCGCCACAGCTCAGTCAGCGGTGGCAAGAGCGAAAGGTTGCCGTAACCACACAGGCGTCTCGGAGGCTCTCGATTGGTTTGACGTATAGACTAATCAGCATATAACAAGAACGTGGCCTCCTCTTCAAAACAGGGCACTTCGGTGTATCATCCAGAGCTTGACCCTGAGATTACCACCGAACACCACTTTCCGTGGCTTCATCCAGTCCCCCCATGTGCAGCAGGCAACGCGGCCGACGTCCAGCCAATTACACATTGTATATTCTATCCCTTTTGAGTCTATATTAGCAGTTACAACCCTCAACACTTCAAATGACTCAAGCCCGCTAACCTTACGCCACACACCACTGTTTATCGCTCATGCTGTGGTCTCTCCAAGCGTGTTCGTCGCGAGCGAAGCTCACCGCATTCCCACTGATTCACCGTCAGGATGCCACGGCTCCCATCGAGATCCACCCAACAAGTCACCTCCACAAGCACGCGCCATCTTTCAATTCAACTCCCCTTCCCGCGGGCAAACCGCACCTAGAGTCAAACGAAGCGTTTCCTGCACACACAACACCTTTGTTCCGGTTTAACAAAATTCTCAAGGGGTTGTTTTAGGGGAAGCATCCCCCCCCGACCCCCCCGCCCCCCAATCACGCCTGCTTCACTTGTCTTCCCCTACCGTTCTTCGTATCGCGAAACGGCCCTCAGCAGAATCTACGCCCTCGCCCCCTCCGCCGCCGCCGCCGCTAGCGGCCGCCGCGGAGGGGGGGCGTGAGCGTACCGGTAGCTCCCGCGAAGCGTCGCGAGAGTGACCGCCACCATGCGCGGAAATCTCCACCTCGTCCACCCGACGGTAACCCAACACCGCCGCCGCCGCCGTCCCCGACGGCCTCCCTCCATCCTCCCCCGGCACTCTCAAGTGCTTCACCCGGAGCATGAGCGCGGCGAGAACCGCAAACACCACGCCCGCGAGCGTGAGCATCAGCCTGCCACCTTGCGGGCCGGCGCCGCCGGAGACGGACCCGACGGGTTTCGCGCTTTGGAGGCGGTTGCTTTCGTGGGGGTGGTAGGCTTCCCCGTTGCTCGCAATGAACACCGAGACGGGCCCGGCGGACACCGCGGTGACGGTTACGCCCGACAGGAGCCAGCGCTGCCGCTTAGTCCACTGGAGGGCGGCGGACAGGGATGCCGAGAACGAGGAGGAGGAGCCCGTGCCGTTGTTGAACACCTGGGTAACCTTGTCCGCGGCAACGTTGTCAACCTTAGGTGTCAGGTGC